GGAAAAAGCTTTAGAGCACAATGGAAATAAAAAAAAAACAATGTTACAACCTGCGTATTTTTTAAAAGTGACACACAAAAAAGAACTGGGAAACGTTAGGGGATACTACGGCAAGAATTGTCATATACATCTTAAAATTTTTGGAATCATCTTGCAGTACTAAAAAAAAAAAAAAAAATTCAGGTGATGGTTTACTAATATCACACCTAAGAAACTTAGATATACTCATCACTGGTATAAATTTTGAAAGAAGGGTCATTCGTCCACAGAATAAAATGAAGCAAAGTCAATTGTCAGCTTATCTGCACATAAGTCCATATGTCAAAATTAACTGAACAGTTTTTAAGGCTACCTGAATAATTCACATACTTATGGAAATAATGTTGATGAATGATAAATGATGAATATGCAATGACCTAATCTTTGAATGTAAAGAGGTATGAAATGAACAGTCAACCGATGTTATGGATATCCATGTACAACCAACATAACTATCACTTAATATAAAAATCAAACAATTTCAAACCTGATGGCAAGGTAATAAAAATTTATCATAATCTTATCAATATTATATGATCTTCTATGAAGAGAAAATAAGCTAGAGCGCTTCTCAAACTTACATAACATATGTTGGATGTATACTTATGTACTTAAAGGAATCATCTAAATATTCAAATCTAATTCTTCCAATATGCCTTCTTTCTCCAACAAAACATTGAAGTAAAATATATATGAGGTACATTGGCCCAATGACCTCAACTTTAAGTAGCTACCAGAATTAAAGACTGCCATCAGCAATGACCAGAAAAGGTAATGAATAACACTCACTCTTTGTGTAGCCGAACTCGTCTTCTTCTTCAGTGTCTGCTTGCTTCTCCACTTTGCTTCTTCTAATAGCACCGGCACTGGCACGGTCAATCTGAAGAAATCAATATTCCCCTAGAGAAAACTAAATTTAAAATATCAAAACTTTTTCGAACAATCACCTCCTACTGAGCAGATGAGGTATTCTGTAGCATCCCTATTGGAAAATACAAATTCCAACATTCTACTACCGATTTGTTTCAATCACTCATAGTCAAAAAGACAAATCAACATACTTAAACCATGAACAAACACATAATACAAGACCTTTTCGTCTAAAGAAAAACCAAAGATATACAAAGAAGTTATCCTAATCTTGATTTCATGAGTTCCACAGTTATACTACCAGTAACAAACAACTATGTATATATACTTCATACCTAAGCAAGATAAAATGGGAAGCCCATATGCCATAGCGATTAAGGCAGTGTCAAAAGTAATTGTTTTCCTACCATGTAAAGCAGTGATCCTTCCATGCCAAACACAATCACACATGACTAAATAGATTTAAAATTTCTGTTTTAGAATTAAAAGCATAATGAGATAACATGCAGCGTAATACTTTCATATAAAACTTCTTCACATACTAAGCATGGAAGTAAAAACACTCAAATGTATAGAATATTAGCCAACAGCGGTAAGTCTCATAGATAGTTCTGCAATTGAAATACAATCATACATTTTATAATAAGCTTATAACTCACTTCAACGCCCTTTTTGGTCTCAGTACGACCCTGTTCGTAGTGGACATCGTCAAGGCCCTCATCGTCCGAATCTTCGGTAGTCTGACGACGACTGTACGGTTTTTGTTGAAGATTAGCCTGAATCTCCTGTTTCTTGTGGTCTGGTAGACCAGGCTGGTTATACAAACAGAGAGCACAATGTATTAATATCAAGAATATTATAAATCTAGAGGAACACAAAGTACACACAATAACTGATATCCAGATCGAGCTATGACTTTTATAATGAGTCTCTGGTAAAAAAAAAAATTTCCACTGATTGGTTCACTTACAGCACTCACTAGTAATACCAGCTGCATTATGCTTTCAGTACCTGTTAAGTACAAATTTATAGAGATGACAATATATGAGTCAATGAAATCATTCTACATAAAAGTCAAGTACAAGATGAATGTATGAGGACTAATCTCCCCTCACTTATGATGCAAAAGTTCTAACTGACTGCACACTGACAGATTTTATTATGTAACAGAAGAGTGAATCCACTGATTTACACTGAATAAGTTCTTTTTATAATCTTTTGGTATAAGATGCAGTTTCCTGCACAAACTAGCAAGGTGCCCACAAATACAATCTCACAAAAGAATGAAGATCGCTGCTTCATATTATGCTGCCTCTTTTCAACCCTTTTTTAACTGCTTTGCAGCAAGAATATAAATAGAAGAAGGGAGGGTAGGCTGGCTTTTCACTTCTACACTATCGAAAACTTTTTTAAACTCTTCTTTGACTGCTATGCAGCAAAAATATAAATAGAAGAGGGGAGGGAAGGCCGACATTCCACTCCTCCATTACCTAAAACTGAGGAGAAAAATTCAACTCTCATATTTCTCTCTCAAAAAACGAAAAGAAAAAAAGAAAAAAGCAACTGATTCCTCAATTCCTGAATTGCTATTCTTCTAAATAAAAAAATAGTTATTGAAGAGCCGACAATGGGCAGGGTATGTTGAGGTATAAGAGTATCACTTCTTTTGTTATAGTTGTAATGCATTCAAATTTGATAAAATCAAACTAACAGAACATATGACAAACAGTTTTTTCCTCTTATTCTTATATGTCCAATACCTTCAAGTCTGTATATTATACAGAAAAGGGAAATGAAGAAAAATTCAAGGAAATTTTTTATGCATGGAATTCATTTAAGAGAATGACATCATTTTAATAGTATGAGAGGAGCTTGTTTTATATGCTTTTTTAAATTCTTTCCAGAAGGGTGTTCAGACTGAAGGAACAAATGCAATAATGTTAATAAGTGAAAGTATAAGCTTGTGCTCAAATGGCCTTTTACTGTGATGTGATCGGTTTTATGTCACAGACTCCCTTTTCTACTAAGGGCTAGCATGATGCCTTCCTGAGAAGGGACCTTGGTTTTGGTAAGCGTGACCATTACCCTGAGAAAATGCCCTTTCTAACTGTGGCGGGCAGCAAACCCTCGATCTGACAAATGATAGTTGCAAGCAGTATCGCTCAGCCACAGTGATCACTTCTCAAACGGCCTTTCACTATCTCCTGAAATTTTTCAAATACTGTTGATATGTACAAACCCAAAGCACTTCTACTGAGGTAATTAACACTCTATAACACCATTTTCAAAGTTAATTAACCAAGAAAAACACCTTGCAAAGACGAACAATCCAAGTTGTAAAAAAAAATAATAATAAATTAAAAAAATAAACAAATAAAAGAATGTTAAGAAACCCATTTGAAGGGAAAAATACTAGGTATTCATCCATTTGCACAAGATATGAGATACCAGAGCAAAAATGCAATACAAAAAGATTAGGATGCATAGCATCGACAAATTTACTATATTATAAGCTGTACTGTATTTATTCCTGCATATGCTGGTATTTGGTAAGTGCATTCATGAATTTTACTATCATTTATAGAGTAATAAAGACTGGATATCAATTTTCTGTTAATTAAATTAAATGAAATTCTAAATCTCTAAGTAAACAAATATTAAAGTAATCTCTCTAAAAGTGAATATAATTAAATTAATAATATATCTATATTTAAATATTTATATTTCATGATTCCTTAATAATTTAAAATTCAAACTTTAAAACTAAGCACATTAACGACGGTGTTATATATTAAGGTAAAATTAATCTTTTTTAATTTGAATATAGTAAAAATACATGTTGAAGTAAATTTATTATATAAATTCCTAAAGGTATATCAGCATTAAAAAAAAATTTCAGTTAATCTAAACACTGAATAAAAATCAAGAATAGAAAAATGTTTCCTGAAATAAAGGTAAACAATTAATAGCTTACATTCATAGCATATAAAGTATTGTTTTATAAACTCAATAACAAAATTCAGTATAAATTACAAACAAAATACTTCAAACCTTAAAATTACTATACAATAAAATGATACAAAATATATACAAAGAAACATAAAATAGCTTCAGAACACAAAAATGATAAAAAGTGAACAGATCATAATAATTAACAAAATTACAACAATATAAAATGCAATAAAATTTAACATAATAAAAATAATATGATAATGGGCACTGATATCAGAATAATTGTATATAAAGTATATATAATTCACATAAATACATAATAAAACTTTTATATGACATATATTTAAAGGTGTTTTTAAAAATAGTTTATCTGTCTATATTAAGCAGCATTCATAGAAGGCAAAACAGCTTTATTTACTTGTAAATTAAGTAAATACATTAGCAGAGACAAAACAGCATTTCACTATTATGATTAAAGGCATTCATACTTTATCTCAAGTCATTAGGATGCATAAAAACATCATTACAGAGTGATTTAAATTTTAATATATATATATATATATATATATATATATATATATATATATATATATATATATATATATATATATATATATATATATATATATATATATATATATATATATTAAAAGCACATGATCAAAGAAATAAAATAACATATAAAGAAAACAATGAAGCAAGCAAATAAACCTCAAAAATTCACACTGCGTTTTTGCATAAATAGACCAATTTAAAAAAAAAAAATTGCATTAAACTTTGCACATGTCAGAGATTCATCTTTGGGGGGGGGGAAATGAAGATAGCTGAGCAAAGTGAGTATCATGGCTAATTACTCCTAACGAGCAAACTACAACATGCTGTTCTAAACCATCCGCATTTATATTGACTAATGAACTTTGTTATCATGATCAGCATATTTTTAAAAAATAAGAGGGAAATGAGATTTTGACTAGTCTCCCAGTTAAAAAACTATCCCCCTCATTATAGTTTCTGCAATGATCTGGTTTTATGTCACGGACACCCTATTATAGTAAGGGATAGGACAGTGCCCCCTTTTGAAGAACTTTGGTTTTGGCAAAGTGTGATCGTTACACCGAGTGAATACCCTTTCCAACCCCAGCCCGTGGCTGGTCTCGAACCAAAGACCTGATGACTCAGAGTCACGTACTCTACCACTCAGCCACATCGGTCAAAGAGCTTTACTGCAATACGGAAGTCAAATCAACAGATGTATTCCGTACAGAACTTTCATTTTACCTTCCAAAAGAACAATTACATTTGTAATATTAAATTGAGCCAAGCAATCAACAAGGATTGCACTGTTGTGCAATTAAACCTATGTTTAGGAACTTATATTTGTGTAAAACATGGCTAAATTATTTTAGCAATCTTTTTTACACAAAATAGTTAAAAACAAAACCACAAAAGAAGACTGACATCCAAAATAATTATGCCGGAATGTTCTTTATTCATAAGGCTGATGATTACATTTACACTTCATATTCTAAATCATTCTTTCTTTAAAAGCAAGAAAACTTTGAGATCTTGTACTTTTCTTTGCTTAGGAAAATTAAAAGTGCAATAGAAGCCTCAGTTGCATGTTTCGTTTCACTGCATACACATTTTCAGAGATTAAACAAAAACAAAGATAAGAGATAGGTGTATTCCGCAATTGGTAAAATTGGAAATGCATTTAACCTGTATTTCTTTTATTGATGCTCGGGTTTTACGTCATTAAGAGACTAAGTAATTTAATTCTTAAAGTTCATTGTTTTAGACACTAAACATGTAAAATAGAGGCATTATAGTATACGGTAGATTGATCTTAAACTGGACAAAGTGGTCAGTGTTTATGAATTTATATTACTTTCATGCATTTTATCATACTTTTAAACATCTTTATTAGTGAAAGAAAGCAATATAAGTGTTATTTATCATATTAACTTATTTCATAATTATTTTTAAATTTCATATAAATCACATTACCCAATATTTTAGATATATTCATAAAATGATTGTATCAAATTTAGAAAACAAAGTATGCGATACATACGCACATCAGTGTGATTCAAAAATAATGAATGTCCAGTAAGACACTATGAACAGCTTTACAGTAGTACGTACTACAATGACACGTAATTACCATTATGTCTTCTAACAATGTTGATTCATGGATATATTCTAGCACTATATACTACTTCAGCAAGATCTGGCGAAAGCTAAAACAGTTATCATCATACTTCTATTAGACTCTCACACTCAAAAAAAAAAAAAAAAAAAGGAGCATGTTGAGTGCAAATACAAAAAGAAAGGATGCTGAGTACCCACACTTTGCATGAGGTTAGCCATGCGGTGGCCACCAAAGATGATTAACCAGTCCCTAAACGATCGTCTCATCATGATAAAAAATCGGAGTAAATATATACACATCTGTCAGAAGCTTGAACTGAGATGATTAAAGAATTCGGTACTGGAGGCTTAAAGTGTGATCACATCATTTTAAAAATTTTCATACTGACATTGTGTGTAACAGATTATATCTCTCTATAAAAGTTCAGAGGTTTCAAGTCCTGATATGACATGAAACAGTAGAGGGACATTACAAAATTACATGGCTCCACTCCAGACGAATTAAAAAACTACATGAACTCTTATACGTCAGGTCTCGTTAGAATACATGATGCAGTCTTCATCAATCTCATTGATAAGCTATTTTCACATCCAATATAGTGAAACACTAATATTTCCATTGAGAGTTGATACTAAACTTAAGTTTTTAAAATGAAATTCTGATTTGCTACACTAGGTCCTGCACTGACACATGTCATACAAATACTAAGATAAGTTACTGGCCTTCCATCAGTGACACAAACAGTTTCCACTTAGTGATTTAAGTAACTGTGATTTTTTTTTTCTGCCAGTAAAGCACTTATATGGTAGTAATTTTGTATTATGAAGTGAAATATAATATGTTAAATGTATTACACTTTGCATTATCGACATATATTATAATAAATACTAATGAGAAGTAATGGAAGCTTCCAACTGCCTGAGAAATCGAATAAACAGAAGCAGAATTCTGATTATGCTCAGGTTAATAATACTTCTAAATAATATTAAAATAAAGCACATTCAAATAAAAAAAAAACAAGGATTTCTCATGTATGCATAAACTAAGCACGAAAATAAGGAATATACTAGAAATCGGAATTGTAGGTTACACTGATAACCCTGACCCACAACCCTCCTTCAACAAACCAGTTCTGCCACTGGTATTAGATTTCATCTGTCGGTTATATAACTTGAAACAATATTCACGTTTTGAGACTCCCATAATTATTTTACTTTGTTAAATGAATCACTACCTAATTCTGTAAGGATTTCATAATTTCAAGTGAATCACTAATTTAAATCTGTAAGGAATCCATAATTTAATTTCAAACATTCTTCCATTTCATAAAATGAAGTTTTAAAAGATGCCATAAGGTCGATATTAAACTCAAATGTACGCTTGAAATTACTTGAGAGTAAAAACAAGTAAAAAACAAAACTATGCTGCATCAAGAGCTGAATATATGTCACATTTCTAGTAGCTGCTCTCCTTCATCATGCAGTGTCCAAAAAATAATAAGTCAATCTAGTCTAGGTTTTCTATAAACTAGCTAAAAAAAATCTAGTGCACTCTTTGTCACATGAGTCTGCTAAAAGGAGAAATAAAAAGTTTGAGAGTAGCATGCATAGAGACAGGGTAGCAGGCACAGGAACAGGGCAAAGTTAGCTTTAAGGATTCTGGAATGACTTCATTTCTGCCAGGAAACATCAGTGGAGGTTAAAGGAAAGGATGGAACAGGATTGATGAAGAAAACAGAACATGGGGACATTTATGGAAAGGTATTCTTCTTTTATAACTTAATTCTGAGGGGAAGGTGAAGCTAACTGAGCACGAGGAGAGAATGGCAGTGATGGCAGTGCGCACACTAGAGAAGGCAGAGGAAAAGGTGTGGAGGTGGGCTACGTCATATATTTGCGTCATGCTAAGCCCAATAATCTCTAGCGCTTATACCGTATACGGTAGGAAAGAACTAGACAGGATGATCGTGGGTGATAGGCATGACTGGAAGGAATGCTGGCGGGCAGCCTCACCTGTTCGGTGGTGGGCGTATTGGCAGTAGGAGTAAAAGCAGGGCTGTCGTAAGGGGACACAGGCTGCGTGGGTACTTGAGCTGCCAAATGTTCGCTGACTGAGCCTTGCACGCACCACAAGCCTTGGTAAAGATGTGGATCTGTTCGCCAGTCGTAAGTATAAGTGCCAACGGGTGGATCGTCCACTGAAGGCTCAACTGGGATAGAGAGGAGTGGCAGGCTCCTTGGTTTACGGTCACTTTCAACACTATCGATATACTCGGATGTACAAGTAGGAACAATAACTGGGGTGATACTTTCAACACATTCACTCTTCACGTCTTTTAAAGGCATTTTAATAACAACATTTTCAGTCTGAGCATCACTAACCTCAGGTTCAGAATCTTCAGAATTATTCTGTATACTTTCACATGGCAAAGAATCTACTTGAACAGAATCACAATAATAAATAAAAGTTGATTTACTCTGGAGATCAATTTGAGCAGTCTCACAAAAATTTATTATTTTGGAATCAATTTTGGGTTCACTTTTGTTAGGTTCTTTGTAAACATCCCTTTCAACAGACTCAGGCAGAGGAATATCATTTCCCATTACATTAGCTTCAGGTAAGTCGTCTTGTGGGGAGTTGTCTAAAGTTGGAATGTCAGAGGGAGGTGTGTCCATGAGAGGGCCATCTGATGGTGGAGTGTCTAATTTTGTTTCACTCGCTCTACTTGTTTGGATAAAGGAATTAGTGGCACAGCTCCTAAGGGAAAAAAACCTTCGACTGGCTGTACTACTTCCACTACTACTACTTGTACTATTTTCTTGATCGCTAACATACCCATCACCTTTTGATTCAATGGGTTCACTCTGAGTCCTTTGCGCCCGTATATGCCAATGCGCAAGAGCCGCTCGCGCATAATAATAATAAGGATTGACAAGGGGATCGGGATCCTCAGGTTCTGCTATAGGAGATTCCGGCACAAATCTCACTGGTTCTGGATAAAGTTCATGTATGGGTGTTGATGTTTCAGGAATTGGAGGCCCTCCTGGAAAAGTATCTCTTGGATCTGGTGGATGACGCTTTTCTGTGGGAAGAGCCTCCTCTTGCTGCTGCAGTTGTAGGCTGCTGCCCTCGCTGAGCGGCGTGCTGGCCTGGGGAGGTAACATGAATGCTGCAGCAACAGTGTGGGTGGTGTGGTGGTAAATACCAGAGGGTATCAAAGGAAGAAAGGTTGTGGTGGTGGAGGTTGTGGTTGTGTGGGTGGTTATGGGAAAAATAGGTGAAACAGTGGTACTGGTGGTTGTAGTGGTAGAGGCATCAGCCATGGTGAAGCACCCATATTTAGAGGTACCAATAGAATAGAAAGAAGAGGAAGAGTACATAGCGGAAGAGGAAAATGAAGAGGAAGAAGCACTGAAAAAGGCTGCGGGTGGGTCAGCAAGTATTATGTCCCTAGATGAAGGATGACTCTGGCTGACACTATCATTGAGGGGATCACTGGAGGAGGGATGGCCTGACCTAAACGATTTACAATCACGCGCATGAACAGGACTCTCACTCCCTGGGATATCATATTCAGAATTATCATTATCTTTGGACAGAACTGACACATTTCTAAATGAAGTCTTGGAATTGGTTGATTCTCTGAGAAGTCCTGCAGAGCAAACTGTTCCACATGGGTGCACCTTGTCTGCTTGTAGGGAAATTTCCAAACCAGATGAAAGATTGGATGCTGTAGATGGAGCAGAGGGGGGAGTCCTGCTTACCTGAATAAGTTCTGGTGTTGGAGTACGTGCAGGAGTGACGGAGTGAGGGGCATGAATGCCAAGACGGCTTACATCGCGAGATGGAGGAGCAGAGTTGGCTGGAGTCTGTGAAAAGGATATTTAATATATATATATCTATTTATATTGCAAAATAATCTAAAAAAAATAAGAACTTTTGAATATGTATGACATATTTGTATCCACATACTTCTAAGTCTTGCTTATGGAAATCTTAAGTTAACAACGAGACTGGGAAAAAGAATTATGTCCTAGATATTGCAAGAGGTGACCCAAAG